ATCTCGCTGAAATTAAATGTTAAGTCTTACATAAAAATAAAAACTATACAGCAACGGAAAACTGAAATGGTGAAATTATATCCTATGTGAGATTTTCAAAAAATACACAAGCATTCATTTATTTAATATATGTACATTAATTTTACCGCTTTATAATTGTCCCGACTGGCCTTCTGTATACGTTTAACATCCATCCAGGTTTAAAGTATACAGTCGGAGTTTTAGTTCTCCATCAACTCATTTTGAGCCTAAGGCCACATTTTGCACCTGAACAGGACCCCCGCAGAGCCTCCATCACAGAAATGTGTCGGGGTTTCCCTTTAAACATCAAAAATATCCCCACGGATCTCCTTTTCTTTCACGTGAACGAGAATCTGTGCGGACGTAAATCTGGAGGACGCGTCGCATTAGACGCGTCAGAGCACGTACAAAATACACCATCAGGACAAATAGCTGGACAGGTGCCCCGCCCACCTACACTTTTTAATGCACAAGTGTCGACCTCCAGGCCTCGAGGGCCGGGGTCCTGCAGGTCTTAGATGCATCCTTGATCCAACACAGCTGATTTAAATGCCTAAATGAACTCGTTTGATTCAGGTGCGTTGACCCAGGGTGAGATCTAAAACCTGCAGGACGCCGGCACTCGAGGCCTGGAGTTCGACACCCCTGCTTTAAGGCATGAATGAGATCTTTGCATTTTGAACCGGAATAAACTTCCATGCTGGGGTAAATCCCATCCTCCCCATTTCCAAAGACACCTGCACAGCTATGCTTTGCTTTCATTTGACATCCATGTTTTCTGGAAGCATCCATTTAGCTGCTTCCCTCAACTTATTAAATAAATAGAATTTATCAGACGTTTAAGTCACTAATTCATTTACAGTATGTACCAATAACTCGGCCGTGTTCCCACCAGCTCAGTCCTGCCATCCTCACAGGTTGTCAAGTCTTCTTAGATGTGCGAGTGAGGAGAGGGGGAATAGGACTGAAAGGAAAAGCAAAAGATTTCGAGAGATTTCATGCAAGTCGTCGGTGTCAACCTTCGTTTTATCCCAGCTGTGAGGAAAGGAGGATTACTTTGGTCGTGTCCAAATTCATGGGCTGCATCCTCCTGAGGACCCGGCCTTCGCGGTCTACGTGGGCCGGGTCCTCAGAAGGTCGGGTAGGCCGGAAGTAAACGGCCGTGAAATTGGACAGTCTAG